TCTCCTCCTTTCTTTGCGGCATCATATTCAGTTTTGTTTGGGGCACCTGCCCTTCCCACCTTCAATGTCTAAGCTTTACTTCAGTGGTTCATTTAGAATTTAGAAGGAAAAAAATAAGGCAGGTGTCTAATCCATCCTGACATTGCAATCTTGCTGGCTCATAAAAATAATCTGCAAATGCTAAGTGGTTTTCTAGACAAACCCTCAGGCTCTTCTTTCCTCTGCCCCATTTCAGATCCAAGTGTGCTCTGTAGTGAATACCTAAGAGGCTCCTTTTGTCTAAGAACTGTCCTTCCTGTCATCTACACAGTCACCACAGAAGCCATCCCAGAAGGATGTGACAACCTCACCTGGACCAGGGTTTACCCAAAGTAAACCAATCACAGAACTCCCTGCCTAAGGCCAGGTGTGATGGTGCATGCCTATAATCCCAGCAGAGAATGGACACGAGTTTGAGGCCAGCCTGGGATGCATAGTGAGTTCAAGAATAGGCAGAACTACAAAGCGAGACCCTGTCTCAAAAAGAAAAAAAAGAATTATTGCCTAGACAGAGTTAATTGGTCCACACTGTAAGCCCCTGGTCCAAGCAGACTTATCTGAACCCTTAAAGGCTTGTGTACATAAAAACATCCGTGGGAGTTTGGGGATAGTACTATATAAAGCAGTCAGGCCTTTAGTGGCTTCCTGCATTATAAGATGTAAAATTTCAGACTTTTTGTAGTCTTTTTTCTCAACATATAAATGAAAGAAAGAGAAAGTTTCATTCTTTTATGAAAAGAATTTAAAAAACAAATGAGACGTGATATGTGAGTTTTCCACCAAGCCTTGAAACTCTGGTTCCAATTGCCACTGAAGTCCAAAAACATAATGTGTTTTGAATTTTTCATTATATCAAATTAGAATAATAAATTCCTATTTTTGCTGAAACTAGTTGGAGCTCCCTTTCTATCACCTAGAATCAAACCTATGATCCTGTGTACCCATCCATAGTTGGTCCCCTCCCTAATTCCTGCATTTGGAGTTTCAGGATCCTTAGCCTTGAGCGTCCCTCTCACTCTAGGCCTTACATTCATCCCAGCCTGGAAAACTTCACCTTGATTCTCCTGCGAAGTGACTATAGCCAGGCAAGAAGCTTAGAAGAAACCAAGCCCCTCAGCTGCAAGTGTGGAGAGGCAGCAGAGCTGTGCTCAGCGTGCCACGGGGGTTATGACAGAGGAAAAACCAGAAGTAGTCCATAAGGACCTGGCTGATTATCAAAGGCTGGGTAGGACTGGAACAGGCAGAGAGGACTGAAATGATTAGTATGAAGGTAAATTGGAAAGAGTATTTCTACCATACAAATAGGCCAAAAAAATTGTAGAAAATGGCTTTGGTGGACCCCTACAGGAGGCTTCCATTTTGATTCCTACATTATTTAATAGATTTGGCTCTAATGGACTTTACCCTTTCAAAGAGCAAGAGATAGTTGATTACATGCCTATTGTTTTAAAAAGACAATCTTCAGAAAATATGGAAAAGTATAAAAATCACCCATAATCCTTCCATCTACTCAGATATGATTTCAGCTAATATAGTCATGAGTCACTTACTGACAGGGACACATTCTGAGATATGCATTGTTAGGAAATTTAGGTGTTGTGTGAACATAGTGTATATTTATATGGACCTAGATGGTAGAGCCTACTACAGACCTATATGTAGTAGGGCCTAATATATACCTAATATACCTACTAATACCTATTATAGGTATTATAGCCTATTGCTTCTAGGCTATATAGCTGTCTGGCTTATTACTATACTGAACACTATGAGCAACTGTAACACAACGGTGGGTATTTGTGTACCTTACGATACAAAAGATACAGTAAAAATACTAGACAGTAAGAATTATGGGGGTCTATAATAATCTTATGAGACCTCATGAATTCAGTCCACGGTATGCCTAAACATCATTATGAGGCCCAAGATTTTATTTATGTGTATAAGCTTATTACCTCTTTTTAAAAGACCTAATATAAATTATTAAAGCATCATTTATATATTATAAAAGTAGATTATAATTATTTGAGTGGTTTGTCATCCTGATTTTTTTCCCTTTGCAATATTTTGTGGACAGAACAAAAATGCATTAAATATGCATTACAGTATGATTTTACATCACTGTAATGAAAATGGCTGCATCACATTCTCTGCAGTGTGTACAAGGCTGGATGTTTTAGCCCGTTCGTCACTGGTGGGCATCCAGGCTTCTCTCAGTTAATGTCTGTGAGTGCATCTGCTTTTGTACAAAAACTGTGAGAAACAGATCTTTGTACATTTGTTTGCTTCTTTTCTTAAGGTAAATGCCAAAAAGTGGGATTGCAATGTAAAAGTGTTTACCTATTTTCAAGTCTTCTGACACATTTTGTCAAAAGTCCTTCAGAAATGTACTCAACAACCCTGTATGAGACAATCAAGTTTCTCTGTGTTCAGATTTAGTTTTATTCCATTCTCTCTGCATAATTAGTCAAAAGCCAGATATTCTTATGGTGAAATTTGCATTTATTCTTATACCATTTTTAAGAGATTGTGATTCATCCATTTTAAGAATTATCAATTTATTTTTTCACATTTTTTGAATGTTATCTATCTTTTCATGATTTGTAACAGCTTTAAATATCTAGGATATTTATTATCTGTTAGTCATATATGTTGAAAATATATTTCTAATATATATACTTTTTGTTTTAATTTGTTAATGTGAGAGATTTTGCAGCATGATTTTGATATTTTTATTTATATTCATACTTCTCTTATAGTTTCTTTTTTTTTTTTTTTTTGGTACCGGGGATCAAACTCGGGTCTTTGAGCTTGTGTAGCAGGCGACGGAACCACTGAGCTAAATCCCCAGCCCTTGTAGTTTCTTATGACTGATGCTATAGTTAAAATTTTCTCAGTTCTGAAAAGCTAGAAATATTCACCTTTCATGATTCACATGTTTACATTTAAATTTCTTATTTACTTGAAATTTATGTTTCATGTAAGAGGGAAGTAGGGCTATAACTTCACCTTTCCTGAATATTCAAAAATCAAAAATGATTCAAAAATCATTTGTGAAAACTGGAAATGCTAGCTTTATCAACTTAATTCTCGTTCATTGCTACATCTTGTTTAGAAGGTCTATTCTAGTCCAATAATTTTCCAGCCTAACCCTCTGTCAGTAGTGTTCTGTTTCACCTATAGTCACATTATCAAGCATTTTAATCCAGTAGGGCAATTTCTTCCACCTAACTCTCCTTTTTCTAAATTTTATGGGCTATACTTAAACATTTACTCTTCCAGAAGTGTTTTGGAATAATTTGTGTTCATTCCAAATCCTATTGATATTTTCATGTAATTGCATTAAATCAGTAAATTGAATTGTAGGCTGCTGACATCATTACAACGCTTTTATAAGCATAATATGTCTTTTCCTTTATTCAAGTCCTCTTTTATGCCCCTCAGTAAGGTTTTACCATTTTTTCATAGAGATCTATATGTTTCTTGTTTAAAACTATTCATGGATATTACATACTTGGTTCCTATCATATCATATTTTATAGCAAGTTCATAAAATTATGTAACAACCTAATTACATATATTATGTTATATATAATATGTTACATGTAATATATGTTGGACCCAGCCAGAGAGAGAACCAACCAGAGACCGATATTAAATCCACACAGGAGTTTATTACCGGCCAGGACCGGAGCCGAGCATCGGACTCGAGCCCCGACTGGGGGGAGACAAACATGTTTTATACACCTTTGAGGCCAGCAGTTTCTAGGCCCCCCCATGGGATAGAACTAGCAAAGCAAGCGAAAGGTACAGAAGCGGAACGTCCTGCCGTTAGAACACCTGTAAAACAATAGTTGATTAATTGTTGTTTCTAAAGAGACTTTCTAAGGGGAGGAGGTTTCTAAGCGTCCTCCTGAGTTCATCTAATGGGCAGGCAGGTGGGTCAAGCAACTCTGTTTTGCTAACTAGGGCCCTTCATATACATTATATGAGATATGTGATGAACCCTGGAAGAGGAATCTAGGGAGTGATGAACCTTGATCAGAAATAGCTCTCAAGGGAGGTGAAAAAAAGGCGAGAGAGGGAATCCTCCCTTCTGTTTCCCTCCTGCCACGGGCCCAGCCACAAGCCTGATGACGGGGGAGCCCAAAGGGTTGGAAGCAGACCCCAGACATGCATGCAGAGCAGCGCAAGGGAGGCCATGAAACAAAACCGGGACAGTCAGGGCAAGGGCCATGTCGTAGTTACTTCCCACTGGCTGGCACGAGATACCTGACACCCCTGACTTAAACGAGCAGAGGTTTCTCTTGGCTCACAGTTTCAGTTCAGCTGGCTCCAATGCAGAAATTGGGCGGCAGAAGTGCAGGGCAGAGGAAACTGCTCAATCCCTGGCAGCCAGGAAGCAGAGTGAAGGGAGGAGCCTGGGAAGGAGCTGCACCCTTCTGGGCCACACCCCCAGTGACCCACCTCTTCCGGCCAAGCTTACCTAACAGCACATCCACCAGATGAGTATAGCGCCCCCCGATCCAATCACCTCCCAGAAGCCCCACCTCTCAACACATGAGACTTTGGGGGAACATTCTAGACCTAAACCATAACAAACTAGTTTGTGGTATCTTCATAAAGGCTATTGATTGCCTCTAAAAATCGCATCTGCTCTCAAAGAATGTATGGTTGACTCCAACATGACAGTCACAAGAATATAACTAGCTTGAAAGCAATATCAAAATGGAAGGAAAAAATAGTTTCAATTGAATCAAAACCTCCTGAGGTGACTATTATGAAGGAGGAAACCTGACTGTGGATGTTTTGGTAATATTTTTAAGTATGCACATTAACTTAGAATTCTTCTTTATGTACAATGTGTGCCACTCCAAAAACCACCTAAGAACTGGAGAGCAAAGAGAGCTCACTTTCGGAAAAATCCCAGCAAAATCTCGTTCTCCTTACTTTCACCTTAGAACAACGTGGACACCTTCCTCAGAAGATAAAGAGGGATGGAGAAATGGAGGAACTTCTGAGGAGGTACACCCCTTCATTCACCCAGCACCAATGAGATAAGCTAAATAGAATTCCAATAGGACCTCTTATAAAAGACTTCCTGAATATGAGCAGGAACCTATGAGTCTTTTATAAGATAGGGTTTTAGTTCTTGTTCTTTTTTTTTTTTTTTTTTTGGTACCGGGGATCGAACTTGGGTCCTTGCGCTTGCGCAGCAGGCGGCGAAACCACTGAGCTAAATCCCCGGCGGGTTTTAGTTCTTCAACTAGACATGTTACCTTGAGAAAAATTCCAAATCCCTTCCTAAAAGTTTCTTGAGGAATTTTTGTTCATCTCTTCAGCACCTAGAAGTAGATGTTCAAAGAGTATCTGTGGTGGCAAATAACCCAGATTTAAATTGGGCTAATTAATAGTCATTTCTCCAAAGAAGATATGCAAATGCCCCAAGGCCATATGAAAAGATACTCAGTATCAATCATCATCAGGGAAATGCAAATCAAAGCCTTGAGACATCACCTCATACTCATTAGGGAGTCACTATCAAAAGGGCCAGAAAATAGCAAATGTTGGTGAGGATGTGGAAAAATTGAACCCTTATGCATGGTACAGCTGTGAGGAAAACAGTGTGGAGATTCCTTAAAAAGTGAAGGAACAAATATGACCCAGCAATCCCACTTCTGGGTACATATCCAGAAGAACTGAAAGCAGGATCTCAAACCCATATCTGTACTCTCATGTTCATTGCAGTATTGTTCACAACACCAATTTACAGAAGCCACTTAAATGTTTACTGGTGGATGAATGGATAAAGAAAATGTGACATGAACATACAATGGAATATTATTCATTCTTTAAGAAGAAGGAAATCCTGCCATATGACACCACATAATTGAACTGTGAAGGCATTATGCTAAATAAAATAAGCCGATCACAAAAACGCTAAATAATCCATGATTCCACTTATATGAGGTATCTAAGTAGTTCAATTTATAAAAACCAAAAGCAGAATGGTGAACATGGGGAGCTATTTAATGGGCACAGAGTTTCTCATGTAAAATCACAGTTCTAGAGCTCTCTTGTACAGCAATGTGCCTAAATTAACAACATTATACAGCTAAAAGTAGCTAAGTGAGTAGAGTTATATTGTTTCTTAAACACAAGTTTTTAAAAGGAAAAAAAATTGAGATGAAGTAAAACTGAACCTATTCTAACGAACCACTGACATATTAACTCTTGGGCACCCCCACACATAGGATCGTCCCCTGCTGCTATTTCTTAGTTCCTCTCCCATTTAGTTAATAGCACTGTTAATGATGGCGTCTGTGTTTTGCTCATGGTCAGGTCCCCCATACAATCTATCCCGGTGCCTGGCCACAAAGTCATTACTCAACCAGTGTTCCTGAAATGACTGAAGGAGCTGGTGGAATAGGGCTTTAGTTTCCCCATCTATAAAAAGGGAGCCTTAAACACATGCCTTAAACAGTCTGTGTATTGGAGGAATCCTCCTGGCCCCTTGGCTGGTGGGTAGTGAGAATGTGGGGGATTTCCTTCCTCCTTTGCCACCAGCATGTGTCTCTTTCCCTCCTGATGAGTCATCTGGGAGCCAGACACCATCGCTTTTGGACAGAACATGTCAGGTAGCTGCTTGGGAGCAGCAGGTCCATAAATCTGTGCTGCATCACCGACGGTTGCCTAGGGAACACTGGGGCCCAGCCAGGAAGGGGGATTCTGCAGCCAGGGAGGGCTGTGGCCAGTGTTCCAGCCGTCTTCCCCAACAGCCAGGCAGGAGCGTGACACTCTAGTGTAGAGCCAGTGTCCTGTCCCTGTAGAGGGCAAAAGGGGACCCAGCCAAGATGCCCTGAAAAGATCCAAGGTCCTCATACCAATCGTTCAAAGAGGCAGAAGCAATCAGTTGGCAAGATGATGGAACCAGGAATCAAGCAGCTGGGATCTAGTCTTGCATTTCAGTCTTTCATCATTTCACAGGCAATCATAAACAGATCCCCTTGTTTCCACTGTGGGTGTGAAGATTAATTGAGACATTTATTAAGCTGCTTGGCATAAATCCTGACATATAGCAAACAATCAATGGATGGATCTGTAAACATAATTATTACTTGTGTTGTTGGTAGTAGTAGCAATACTAGTAAACATACATTACACTCACTATACTCTCCCAAGTGTTACTCCATTTTACAGGTAACGAAACTGGGCTCAGGGCTGGGGATATAGCTCAGTGGCACTGCCCCATCTGGCAAACACAAGGTCCTGAGATCAACTGCCAGGCCAGGACCAAAGAAAAAAGAAAAAGAAACTGGGCTCAGACAGGTTAAGTGACTTCCTTAGCATCATTTGACTAAGAATTGGGTCCACATCATAGCCGAATGACCAATTTAAAGGATGGAGATTAGTCTGGTAACTCCCATGGGACTGTGTGGGAAGGACAACCCATACCTCCCAGCTCCATGCAGCTCCACATACCCAGATGGGCTCCTCTCCCCTCACTGTTTTCACATGATGACCCAGAACCCCTCCTGAACTTGCTCTGAACTTTACACCACTTCATCTTCAAATCTCACATCGAAAGGGTCCTGGCCACTCACTGGTTCTGCCTGGGTCATGTGTCCACACTTGGAGCTGGAGAACAGGGTTGCCCAGATCTGAGAGCTGGGGGACTCAGGGGAGAACCGGGGTTACAAAGGGAGACTAAAGAGAGACACAGACAAAATGTCCTCTATGTGTGTGTATCTGTGTGTATGTGAAAAGCCTAGAAAACATTTGCCAAAATGTTAATATTTATGCTCTGTTTCCTATACCTTTCCATAGTTTTGCTAAGCATAATTGCCCTTGATAACTTTTTAAAGCTACTTTCACTTTTTTTAGCATTTGAATAATGAAATAATACACCGTTATTTTAATTACATTTATTTTCAAGGCTATTGGCCTGCTCAAGAATGCCCCTGGTTGTGGTTCTGGCTTGGAGGGCACGGTTGAGGCACTTGTCTGGCCTCAGTTTCCCTGCCTGTGAAATAAAGGAAGGATCGTACCACGCCTACAGTCTCTTCCAGCTGTGATTGTGAATGCCTCTTTCCTATGTACATACAGCAAATTTAAAAAGCGTAGCTATGCTGACTCTTAAGGGATCAGCTTTAATGCAAAGAAAATAATTGTTTCCAAGTAGAAATCAGTCCTGACTGCAAATGGGTATATTTGTGGAGTCAAAAAGTTTCTTCATGGGCCCAGGATTTAGCTCAGTGCTTCCGCCATCTGCCTCACAAGCACAAAGACCCAAGTTTGATTCCCGGTACCAAGAAAAACACACACCAAAAAAAACAAAGTTTCTTCATGGCCAGGGATTTAGCTCAGTGGTTCTGCCACCTGTCTTGCAAGCGCAAGGTCCTGAGTTCAATCCCTGGTACCAAAAAAAAAAAATGTTTCTTCATTAGTGAAACATGTGTCCCAAAACCTCAGAGAGATTCCTCCTCTGTGGAGACTGGCTATCTCCAGTCCAAAAAGATCTCTCTCTTCCTTACAGAAAGAAAACTTAACCTTACGGAACTATTGAGTCTTCTACGGGCTGGGCTCAGCACAAGGTGCATTACACACACAGGCAAATCTAAATTTACTGCACTACTTACCAACATTTTCTGGCAAATAACTAGACCCTAAAGCCTCCTTGCTGTTTAACTGCCAAACCATTATTGAATATGAATCCATGACTTACCTTTGAAGATCCGTAAGAGGAAGAAATACTGTCATTTATTCTTGTGTGTCCCTCAAACCCTAACATTGTGCATAATAAATATCTGCTGATTACTGGAATCTTCCCTCTCATCAGTGTTTTTAGGGCTCCATCAAGTCAATGGTTTGAGCAGCGCATTGAGCACATATCTTTAAGAAAGGATGATTTGGGGTATGTCTTAAGACATGTAAAAGTACATTGATTCATTAAACTATGTCTATGTACTACTTTGATTTTTAAAACTTCAAGTTTTTAGTTTTAAAAAAAGAAAGGGTGTTCTTTTTTTTTAATTCTTTTATTAGTACATTTTAGGTATACAACACAATTACATTTCTCATTGGGAACTTGTGCCTTTCCATGATGCATCTTGGTTCTTATTTTTTCCCCATTCCTAGCCCTCTCTTCACCCCCTCCACCCTTCCCTATTTACAAAGACTTTATTTCCATTTTTTCCATTTCTCATCATTTTTCCTTTCCCTTCTTTCCTTTCCCCTGCCCCTCCCACTACCCCTACCCCTTTGGACCTTTTCTTCCTATTTTGCATTATCGATTATTCATTCTAATTATTGGTACATTTTAGGTATACAATATAATGACATTCATCGTTGGAAATTTGCACCTTTACATAGTCTCTCTTGGTTCTTATAGAAAGTGTGTTCTTGATCCAAATCAAAAGGGAAGAATCGGGCTGGGGATTTAGCTCAGTGGCACTGCGCCTGCCTCGCAAGCGAAAGGTCCTGAGTTCCATCCCCGATATGGAAAAAAAAAAAAAAAAAACAGAAGAATTCATCCTGTTGAGGGTTCCTGATACTCACAGGACCTTCAGGTAATGGAACATCAGACAGCTAGACTTTGGGAACGGTAAGTTGGAAAAGGCCACAATTGCGGGATTGCTGGAAGCAACATTAGAGCTCAGGGACCTTGTGGGAGGACTAAAGTTGAAAGAAAGGCCAGGCTGTATAGAGGAGAATGGATTCCCAACACAAAATTCACCACAGATATAGAAAGATTAAAAAGATACAGAGAGAAAGACACAGTTCACCAAAGCAAGCCTCCTCCTAAATAATTTTGCCTACAGGAAGCTCTGCTTTCAGAGATAGGATGGGGAATTGGAATAAAAAGGTCTGGGCCAAAAACAAGAACAACAACCAAAAAATACCTACAGGGCCGAGGATTTAGCTCAGCGGTTCTGCTGGCTGCCTCACAAGTGCAAGGACCCGAGTTCAATCCCTGGTACCAAAAAAAAAACCAACAACCTACAAAGAGATGCAATTGGAAGACCATAAAACCAAAGTTTCACCATAAAAAAGAAGAACGGAGGACAAAGTTTCAGACATTTTGCTTTATTTTGACTTTATGTTAAGGCTGAGATCACCTTGCTCTTTCATTCATTCACTTCCTCACATGTTCACTTAGCTAATAAATACTGAGCACTTACATCCATCACATACTGCACTGAGTCCTTGGGTGAACAGAAAGAAAAGCCATTCCTCCTCTGCTGGAGTAGCAGTCTAAGGAGGGAGGCAGATAGCGATCAAGTAATCAGATGGAGGAGCATGTAACCACAGCCAAAGCAGACGCTCTGGTGGAAAGGGATGTGGTTTTCTGAGAGCTGAGACAAAGGAACCTTCCCTAGCCTGAGGAAGAGTCCTGCTTCACGCTGAGGTGTGATGAGTGGTTAGACAGGTCCAGTGCAGACAAGCCTGGCAGGACCGGCACTCAGACAACCCAGACCCTACAGCAACCCTCCCTATGAGGTGTTCCCTTTCGAGCTCTGTGAGCCTCCATTTGATCATCTGTAAGGTGAGGATGTTGGACTAAAATGATGTTTCTTAAAATACGGTCTTCTAAAAAAAAAAATACGGTCTTCTGCAATAGAGTCACTTAGTTTACTTGTGAAAAATATCAATTCCTGGACTTAACATCAGACTGACTGAATCAGAATATATGGGGCTGGGGCCCAGGAATCTGCATTTAAGATGCACTCTAGGTAACTCTTCTTTATCCTGGTAGGCTGAAATAATTTTGGGGTTTTTATTTATATTAGTATATGTTTGCAGTACATAATGATTATATACATCATGGGGAGTTGGTACATGTACATAACACATCTTAATTCTTTTTACTTCAACTCCCCTCCCTCTTCCTTCCTCCATATCTAGATCCCCTTCCCATTTCCCAAAGATCTATCTACCTGTTTCCTATTATCTCTCTTTTATTTTGTTCTTCAAATTATTTATACTTTGGGTTTCTCATATAAGAGAAACTAGGCAATCCTTAAGCTTGTGTGTTTAATTTCACTCAACATTATTGTCTCAAGGTGCATCTATTTCCCTACAATGGACTCAAATTTAACCTCTTTATGGCAGAGTAGTACTCTACTGTCTAGGTGACTCATGCACAGTAAAGTTAGCATCACTGTATATGTAGGCAAACCTTTGCCTGCTCCATGGCTCTATATTTCTTTCTTCCTAAACTCCTAGGATCCTGAGGGAGCCGCAGCAGGAAGGGGTGAAGTGAGCAGACCCAAGAATTGAGTGAAGGGACACTGGAAATTTTGAGGTAACAAAAACGTACAAACTTTCACACCTACAGGTGATCTGGTTGTTTTAGGTCAGTTTCCTAGCTTGGCTTAAGAGCTCCAGACTCGAAACTCTTTTCTCTACTCAGCCCCTAGAATTTCACTGGAAATATGAACTCACTGGTATTTGTTCCCTGCCTTTTTCCCTCTTCTCTTTGTCCCCTTCTCACAGGCCTGGTCTTCTCTGTAGTTCCTGGGAGTGGATGGAGATTCACATGGGTCACCTTCCTTCCCTGCCCTTCTAGAAACGAATGGTTTCCCTTGGATGCAAAGGTCTGTGGTCTGTGATGCTGATACACAAGAAAATTCCTGTTGACACTAGTTATTCCAATGGCCAACCATGACAGACGGGGGGCCTGAGACCCTCCCTGCACAACTGAGCTGTGTTTCTGTTGCTTTACATACAGCAAGCTCGCTGGGCAACCACCCACCACACTCTACCCCCCAGGATGACCAACACCCTCACTGGCCCAGCCCCCAACCTAGGAATTCTCTCTGCAAGTAGAAACATTCCCAGCAAGCCCTGGGCTCCTTGGATGTAGTAATTTCAGGAGTTGGATCCCAAAACCAGACACATTATTTCTGCCTGCCTAATAGGATTCTTGTGTTCAAATGAGATAATATATGTAATGCATGTAGCACATGCCTAGAATACAGTAAGTTCTCAACAAATGTTAACTGCGATTATTTGAATTATTGTTTTGCTAGCCATTGTGTGTTTGGAGTAATATCAGGAAAAAAATCATCAGTTACATCAATTGACAAGTAAAAGGTTGGAAGAATAGCTGAGAGATCAACTAGGAAAATTTTACCTAAATATTCCAGACACTGAGAGATCTGCTGTGTTTTTAAGATTATACAAAAATATCAATAATAAGTAAACATTTCTTGAGCGCTTTCTAGGTTCCAGACATCATATTCCATTTAAATCCCCTCAACAACTTAATGTGGAGTAAGTACTACTAAAGTCCCCATTTTACAGACAGACAGAAGCTTAAATAGATGAAAAAACGTGCCTATGGTCAAGGTTTAACAAGCTACTTCTTTTAAGTTAACTGGCATCCTCTCCCTCCCCCTCCCCCTCCCTCTTCCCCCTCCCCCTCCCCTTCCCTCCCTCCCTCTATTTCTCTCTTCCTCTGAATGATAATACTTGGTTTGGTTGCCATGATGGGAACAATAACCGTCACAATCCTTAAAGACAATCATTTGCTCAGACCTTCCATCCTTCTTGGAAGAAGTGAGGCAGGAGCCTCATATAAGTTCCTTTGCGATTCCCAAGAAGGGGTTAGGAGGTGAGTTGTTTGGGTTTTTTTAATAGACACATACTATTTGTATGTATTTATAGGATACAGGGTGATAATTCAATGTATGTTTACAATGTGTACTGATAAAATCATGATAATTAGCATTTCCATTTCCTAAGACATTTATCATTTCTACGTGCTGGAAAACTTCCAACTTTTCTATTAATTTTGAAATATGCCATAAACTGTTGTAGACTACAGTTACCCTACAATGCTATAGAACACTGCAATTAATTCCTCCTGATTGTTTTGGTACCCAGTATCCAACCTCCCCCTATCCCCTCCCCTGCACCCTTTAGCTTCCACAAATGAGTGAGATCATTGGTATTTGCTTTCTGTACCTACCTGGCTTACTTCACTTTACATGATGTCTTCTGTTTTGTCCTAAAAGATAGGATTTCTTTTTGTTTGTTTTTGTTTTTGAGATAAAGTCTTGTTATACAGTTCAGGCTACTCTTGAACTCACTATGTATCCCAGACTGGCCTTTAACTTCCAGTGATCCTCCCTGCCTCAGCCTCCTGAGTGCTGGGATTCCAGGCATGTGCCACAACATCTGGCTTGGGATTTCATTCTTTTATAGCTGAAAATATTTCTTGTACATATACCACATATTCATTACAGGTAAGATTTAATCCTCAGATCCAGCCTCAGATCCAGCCCCAAACACTCTGCTTCCACGGATCTGTGTCTCTAGTCTCCTGAGAATCTTCCAGTCTCTACTTTTTTCTTCTTTCTCCCTTATTTTTTCAGGAAGGCCAGCATGTCGCCAAATTTGGGGTACTGAGGAGATCAAAACTATCGGTTTTCTAATCGACCTACCTGTGCCCTAATGCATGTCTGGATAATCTTGAGCACGTTACTGTATCTCTTTATCCTCAGTTTCCTCTGCTATAAAATGGAGCCAACAAAATCTATGACCAAAGTGTTGCCAGAAGACTGAATGAGTTGATGCTGTGGATGAGTCTGGTACAATGCCTGGTGTGTCCCTGCACTCAGCACATCATGGTTAATTCAAAAGAGTCCAAAGGAAGCAGGCAATATTGGCCTCTAAATGGATGGCACTAGGGGCAAGGGAAATATCTGTGGGGCTACCCAAGAACTTTCAGTTCCCTTATGTAGCTAAATGCAATTCTCCCAGAATGCTCCTCTCTAGAAGTTTCCATGAAATCTTCCCCATATCTTACTCCCCAAGTGCTCACCGGGGCAGTCTCCCAAAAGAAAAACCAAGCTCCCTCCTCTTTCTCCACCATTTTTCAGGACTCTGAAGGCAACCTTCCAAATCTTTCTATTGGGTGTCCAGTAAGCAGCTGAGAAACGCTGGGCACTTCCTGTCACAGCATTCCTCCACACACTCTTGAAATGGGCAGAGGAAACTGCCTCTTTCTCACCCTCTGCCCCCTCACCAGGTCTCCAGTGCCCAAAGTCGCACCACCTGCTACTCCTTAGGCATCTTCATACTCAGTCCAGGTTCCCACGAAGTCACCTCTTCCAGAAAGTAGAAATGAGAAGGCAGAACGGTGCTCTGACAACACTTCCCCACCTCACTCCCCTGACGCTAGGTCTGTCTCCTCCCAAGCTGGGTTCTAAGAGTTTGTCCAGATTCAATTTTTAGATGCCCCCAAGGAAAAGATTCCCAGCACTTCTTTTTTTAGACCGTTTTCAACTTGGTAGCCACCACATGTGAAAATCCCCCAATGGGGTTGTATGATTTGGTTAAGAGAACCCAAAAGACGAAGGATGAAGAAATTTGAAGTCTGTGTCATGTATTTCTTTCTTTCCTTATTTAACTCACATCCCCGTTCAATGTCAGACCCAATTCCCTGTCCACCCTCAGTTGCACATTTCTGTTATTCATCTTAAACTGCAAACTCTGGGAGGACAGGGGAGGCCAGCATCAAGTCACTTTATTCAGTTCAAGTTCTGCTCCGTGATCATGATACATGGTAAAACACTGGATTACTTCCACTGCCCCAAAGTGAAAGAGGTTACACTGAAATAGAGGGAGCTAGCAGGAGAAATGCTCAGCAAACAAAAGTAAGAAGTAACAGGCTGGGGATCCAATGATCAAGGGGCCTTACCAAGAACTTGGCACTGAGGAAGCTCCGATCAGAAATTCAGGAAAAATGGAAGGTAAAGTAAAGCAATATATATATAGACACTGTTAACAGCAGATTCTCGGTGGGACACTTAAGAACATTTAAAGAACCACTGATAGGGCTGGGAATTTAGCTCAGTGGTTTTGCCGCCTGCTGCGCAAGCACAAGGACCCGAGTTCGATCCCCGGTACCAAAAAAAAAAAAAAAGGAAAGAAAAAAGAACCACTGATAAAGGATAGCCCTTTCCCTTGGCAAATTTGGAGTGGGAAGATAGATAGGTTCATAAATAGACATAAAATCACAGAGAATAGTAACATAGTCATAGTAGCAGTCCTTTTTTTCCCCCTAGTGCTGGGGATTGAACCTAGAGCCTTCACACTGAGCTAGATTCTCGGCCCTTGTTTTAATTTTTCATTCTGAGACAGGCTTTCACTAAGTTGCTAAATTGCCCAAGTTGGGCTCAAACTTGCTATTCTGCCTCAGCCTCGCTGAATATGGGATTGCAGACATGTGCCACCACACCCAGTCTTTTGTTGAGGGTGTTCGTTTGTTTGTTTGTTTTTATGAACCAGGTCCCAGCCTAAGCACTACAGACTACAGCACATTTAATTCTCACAATGATCTAGTAAGTCCATTAGCTAAAGAAACTGGAAGCACAATTTTCAAGGCACAGATGAGGAGTGGAGGCTGGAAGGTTTATATAGCTTGCCCAAGGTCACACATCTGAGCAACTCAAACTGGGATTCAAACTTGGAGTCTGTGCCATGTTCCCCTGCCTGGCCTTTAGGTCCTCACAAGTAAAATCAGTGTTAGATTAGATAAAGAGTTAAAGTTTTTCTGCAAAAGGACAGAGAGCGAACATTTTAGACTGCAAGACAGATGGTCTCTGTTACAATTACTCAGCTCTGCCATTACAGCATGAAAGCAGCCACAGACAATATGCAAACAAATGAGTGTGGCTCTGTTCCAATAAAACTTTATTTACAAAAGCAGGTGCAAGGCTGGATTTCATCCATAGGCTGTAGTTCACAGACCATGGACTAGATTATCTCTAGAGTTTTGGGTTCTGGCATTTCAGAAATTCAGGATCCTGACTTGTGGCCATGGAGCCCAGAGGGACCAGGACATTGAAAACCCAACTGTAAGGAGACTGTTGGCATAACCTTTGATGATTTCTGCATCTGTGGTTAGAGTTAATCCTGTCACTGCCCCTTGATTTAGCTGCTAGTGGGGAAGAGAATGGACCTGTTCTGGTTCCAGAGGTGGTGAGCCTTTCAGATTCCATTCTCCAGCATGCCATACCCTTCTGCCCTGGCCCCCAGTTCTGCACCCCAGGCTCTCCTCAGACATGTGATATGAATTCAGCCTCTAGATGACTTGGCAATTCATCTGTACCAGCCTGCTGCAAAGAGCTGCCACTGAGCTTTCTCAACCTGATCAGGGAATGTGGTGTGATCTGCAGTGCTGGGTTGGGGGAATCCATGCTCACCAAAGAGTGACAAGTTGTAATTACCACATGCAAAAGCAGTTTTGTCCAGAGAGCACTGAAACTCCTCATTCTTGGGAGCCTCTGACATGCTGCCTTTGGAGGCAGAAGAGGTGCCTCACTGCAGCCAGTGTCCCCTGCATAGAAGAAAGGACACTTGTCCTCTCTCGTACCCAGGGACACAAAGGGACAAAAGTTTTCCTTTGTATCCCCATAGACCCCAGGGTGCCTCATGGAACAGATGCCTCACACCTCCAGTTCCTTTTTTTTTTCCTTTTTCTTTTTTTAGCCTCATTTATTGGGTGTTTTGTATTCCAGCTGTGCTGTTAGCCCTGTGACCTCGGGCACCACTCTGAACCTCAGTTTTCTCATCTGTAAAATTTCCATAATAAAAACACGCACCTAGAAATATTCTTATTCTTATGAGGATTAAATGAGATAATGTACATGAAGGCATCCTGGCCTAATGCCTAGCACCTCATAAGCACCTAATAATTACTAGCCGGTGATATTACTATTACTCTGCACTAGGTACGCTGCACACATTATCATATTCAACCCTCAGCCATAGCCCTGTGAGGTAGGGACTGTTACGATCTTCATCTCACAGATATGGAAACCAAGGGCCCAAAGTGGTTATGTGACTTGTCCAAGGGAAAATAGAAAATAAATTAGTGGAACTGGGACATAAACCCAGGTCTATTGTATGCCAAAGTTCTGGCTCTTAATCACTTTACTATCCAAGGTCACAACAGTAGCTATTAAAGGATGGAAACAGGATTAGAATCCAAGTCGGCTCTCAACTCCTTGGCAGACCCAGCCCTGCCTGGGAAGCAAGGAAGAGCAGCCTAAGGGGCGCCTCTGCAGGACTCCTCTCTGACCTCCCTCCCCTCTCTGACCTCTGCCTCACTCAGGACCCTGATCGCATTCTGTTTTCTGCTGTAATTTCCTTCAGGCTACCACAGAGCCTTCTGGTGCATTTCTTTTTTAATCTCAGTCTAGTGCAGGAAGAAGGATGCATGCTTTGGAGTCAGATAATGATGCTTTGAATACCAATCCTGCTTACTGACCGAATGGTGTTGGCCACATCACAGGATCTCTCTGAACCTCAGTTTCCTCATCTGTGAAGAGGATAATGCCTCCCTTGTGTTGTTGTGAAGATCTGAGTGTAAGCACACAGCGTACCCAGCGTGATGCCTGGCATCGAGTAGGTAGTACTCTCTGAAAGGTGCAGTGCTGTCACCATCTGCATGGCACCTCACTCAGGGCTAGGTTATCCTTCACTTAGTTCAGCCACAGCACCAGTGTGGTGCCGTGCAAGAAGTAGATGCTCCTGTCTATGTCTGGTTAGATCGGAAGCTGCAGAGAGACGGAGAAAAAGAACCAAGCAAAAACCCATGATCACAGGTGACAGATCTCCTACCAAGACCCCCTAAGCAGATCCCGAAATCTGCCAGCCTCAGTTTCCCCACCAGACAAATTCAGTGACTGCTTCTCTTAAAAGGCTCAAAGCAGTGGGATTTTGCAGCATCACAGGTTTCTAGTGAATAAGATGGATAATGAAAAGATTCTTCTTCCCCAAGCCTTGAGTGAGTCAGAGCTCTGTGCTTGGCTTTGCCCCAGGGAGTACCGAGAAAATGAAATATCGTCTGTATCCTCATGACACCTAAACAAATGGTCAGTTCCATGGGTCAAAAATCAGGCAGAAGGGTTAAGAGGCATCTCCATGAGGGGAGGGGAAGAGAGCAAGAAAGTGACCATCCACAAACGTTGCCTAGTGAGTCCTGTATATGGCTGCTATTAAGGATAATGCCTATGCACTTTATGGTGGGAAGTTTGTTTTGCCTTTGCAAAAGATGCTGGCAAATGACAACATGTCTGCAACCAGCAAGGATTCTGAACTTCTCTATCCAGCTCAATAATCTCTTCCACATCTGACACCTGAATCAAGGCATGAGTTCTCACCTACACCACAAATTCTTCTCTTTCATAATAGAGACCAAGTCAACCTCAGATTTGCTCCTTCTTTTTCTTTCCCTCCTGGCCTTTTGCCACCATAGAAAAATGTCTGATAGGCTCAGCAGTCACACTGCAGCTGGTTACTGTGATTATGTAGACAGGGCTGTAGCTGGCTGTTCAATAGCTGGTGAAAATAATGCCCAAGAAAGTGGGAAATGGGCCACACAATCGAACTGTGGACTTAGAACTTACCCTCCATTGTGTCCCACCCCGGCCCTCCCCACATCCTTGCTTTCGTACTAATCATCAGCTTTGTGCCAGCTCCCTGGCCTTCTCTTCTCCATCCCTCTGTACCATGGGCATAAAGCAATCCAAGAGACGCTTCCTCACTGCAGCCTTGAAAAGGCCTGGGAGTGGTGGAAGGTGAGTGGATGACACCTACACCCACCTCTGACATGGAAGATGCAGACAGAGGGCATCAGGGTTGCCTTCAGGGGCCACTTTAACTGCAGAGGAAGCTGACTGCCTGGAGCTACAGCATCTCAGAAGATCACCTGGGTCAGCCACTGTCTTCAGTTTAGTACATAAGCCACCCAAGACCAAGAATAACCTCTCTTTTTCATTAAGAGCCCTGGCAGAGAGCAGTCCCAGTCTCACACTCCACTATGAAAGTCATCAGTGGCTGTCCTGGGATGCTTTCTCTGCAGCAGAGGAAGAGCCATATCCTATATACCAGGGGAGCTGGGTTTGATAACCAGCAATGCTCCTGACCAGCTGGGGCAGCTTGCCAACTCCCTTTACCACTGCTCCAACTCCATAGTGGGCAAATGGGAAAACTTGGTAAGCCAGGTGTGGTTGCTCACACCTATAATCTCAGCACTCCAGAGGCTGATGCAGGAGGATCACCACCAGTTCAAGGCCAGCCTGGGTTCTATAGTCAGTTCGAGTCCAGCTCGGACTACATGGTAAGACCCTGTCTCAAAAAAAAAAAAAGAAAGAAAAGAAAACTTGGGTTCTGAGAGCCCTTGAAGATCTGCTCTGAACTATGAATCTCTTATTGTAAAATCTTCAAGTAAAACTTAGGCCAGAAAAAAATGTTTTCACAGCAGTATCCATCACAGAATTTTTTTTAACTTTAGGAAAACTCCTTGAATTACATATTTTGTGCATTTGGGCAGTCTGCATTTTAGTGGGAGAAAGTTAGACTTTCACATATGTGATGACCACCTGCCATTCTCTCTGAAAAAGAAAAGTAAAAAGATATTAAGAAGCATGGATGTAAATCAGAGTGGCCTCTGCTTTCCTCATCCCTTAATACTAAATTGTAATGTTTATCAAGGACAGGTGTGCAAAGCCTGAGATGCAGGCTGCACCCTGGAGTAATAGAAGGTGTCAGGCTCGACTTTTCTGTCTCCAGCTGGCACAGCCCCTGGCTCCACCAAATGTCACTAGCCACATGACCTCAGGAATCTGCTCTCTCTAAGCCACCATTTCTCATCTGTTCATGGAAAATGATTATGCTCTTCTCAAAGAATTGTTATGAAGAACAAAAGAAAATAAGTAAATGTTTGACAATCTGCAGGAACTCAATACATTTGAGTTCCTTCCCAGTAGCAGTAGCTGGGGCCCCAAGTTTACTGTGAAGCACACAGCTGCAACTATAAGTCACTGTAACAGTCTCTCCACCCCTACCTCGCCCAGGGGGAAAGTATGAGGTGGCAGCCAAGTGCTCACCTTTGGGACAGACTCCACAGTAGGTTCCAGTCCCAGCTCCTCTCTTTGACAGCTATGTGAACCTGAGGAAAACAGTTCAATTTCATGGAAATTGGTGTCCTGTGCACAAAATAAAAAATGAGGGGGAGAATGGTTCTTCTCTCATAGGCTCAAGAGAAAAGGCAGTAAGAACTTAGTATACTCTCTAAGACAATACGTGTTGGGTAACGTTAAACTAACATAAGGCTCCTCCTTGGCCTTTTGGTGGCACTTATACTTTCTCTGGGTACCACTGATTCACCTCTGGGGAATATATCCCTGCATCTGCGTGTCCCACTTGAATATAAGGCAGAAAGGAGAAAAGATCAACAGGTAATCAAGATCCCCTCAGTCCCTTCCCCAGACTTTTGGTGCTCTCTCCCCTGCCTCCACTATAGCCAAATAGCTTCTCCTCTCCTCTCCCTCCCCCTTTCTCTCCCCTCCCCCTCTCCCTGTCCTCTTCCCTCCCTCCCTTCCTTCCTAACTCAAACAGCACTTCAGTGACATCATTTAAAATTTCAACCCCCTCCCCACGCTGCAATGCACTTCCCTCTCCTCACTTTATTTTTTCCAAACACCTGTAATCAGATGGCATGCCTCATAATTTGCTTATTTATGTGTTTACTGTCTCCTCTCACTAAAATGTAAGCTCCTAGGCCGCAGGAGTCTTTCCCATTTGTTCAAGTGCTACACCTACAAAGCCCAGCACAGACCCCTGGCCAGGGCGTGGTCCTTGGGACAGCTCACTGAATGAATGTGCGCAGCGGTGAACGGTGAACGAGTGGAGGAAAGGACGAATAAATAAAGACTCCTGGTTTTATCAGACCGAAGAGGTTGCATCTGGGAGATAAAGGATGCAGCCTGGCTCGATGTGACTCAAGGCCCTACCACCTGCCTGACCCTGGAATTCTTCCTCTTTCAGGGGCCAGACGAGGGGCACGCATCCCGCGCCAACTCCGAGACCTAAATCCAGGAGCCCTGCTCAGAGGTAAGGACCCCCAGAGGGCCAGGAGGGGAAGTCACCCCAGCGGCCACCTCCGGCCGGACGTGGGGATTCCCCGCTGTGGTCCCTCCTCCCGCTCGCCCCCCGCCCCCCGCCCCCGCAGAGGGCGCCCCGGAGCCGCTGGGGAGCGCGGCCCGCCTGCGCTGGCTAGGGAGGCGGCGGCGTCGGGGCTGCGGGCTCGGTGGCTGGGCCCGCATTGCCCCCTAGTGCCGCGCGGAGTCAGGGCGCCGGGCTCCCCCGCCTGATGTCACCGCCGTGCAGTCAGCCGGAGGCGGCTCATTGAAAGCAGACCCTCCTCGGCGCTCGCCGGGCAGAGGAGGCGCCGCGCTCCGCAGACCCCGCCTGGCCGCACTGCGCGCGCCCCTGCCCGCCACCCGCTCCTCCCCGCGCTCCCCGGCGAGCCCGGCCCGGCCCGGCGCGCCTGACGTGGACCATTAAACTTGGAGCTGCCGCCTAGTCCCCTCTCTCCTCCTCCCTCTGACAGGCGAGCGAGCGGCTCGGTGCGGGCAGGCGACGTGCTGCCGCCGGGCTGGGCTCCCCGGGGGAGATGATTCCTGGCCAGGTGGGCGCCTCTGCGAAGAAGACCACGGAGGAAGCAAAGTTTCGGGGCAGCTGAAGAGCCCTGACCGCAGCCCTTCCGAGCCCAATCACCTCCCTGGCTATGGAGGGCGGATTCTAAAATGAATCCCGATCTGGACACCGGCCACAACACATCAGCACCTGCCCACTGGGGAGAGTTGAAAAATGCCAACTTCAGTGGCCCCAACCAGACCTCGAGCAACTCCACACTGCCCCAGCTGGACGTCACCAGGGCCATCTCTGTGGGCCTGGTGCTGGGTGCCTTCATCCTCTTTGCCATCGTGGGCAACATCCTAGTCATCTTGTCTGTGGCCTGCAACCGGCACCTGCGGACGCCCACCAACTACTTCATCGTCAACCTGGCCATTGCCGACCTGCTGCTGAGCTTCACCGTCCTGCCCTTCTCGGCCGCCCTGGAGGTGCTAGGCTACTGGGTGCTGGGGCGGATCTTCTGCGACATCTGGGCAGCTGTGGACGTCCTGTGCTGCACAGCCTCCATCCTGAGCCTGTGCGCCATCTCCATCGACCGCTACATTGGGGTGCGATACTCCCTGCAGTACCCCACGCTGGTCACCCGGAGGAAGGCCATCTTGGCGCTCCTCAGTGTCTGGGTGCTGTCCACGGTCATCTCCATCGGGCCTCTCCTTGGCTGGAAGGAGCCGGCACCCAACGATGACAAGGAATGCGGGGTCACCGAAGAGCCCTTCTACGCCCTCTTCTCCTCCCTGGGCTCCTTCTACATCCCTCTGGCGGTCATCCTGGTCATGTACTGCCGCGTCTACATCGTGGCCAAGAGGACCACGAAGAACCTAGAGGCAGGTGTCATGAAGGAGATGTCCAACTCCAAGGAGCTGACCCTGAGAATCCACTCCAAGAACTTTCACGAGGACGCCCTCAGCAGTACCAGGGCCAAGGGCCACAACCCCAGGAGTTCCATAGCTGTCAAACTTTTTAAGTTCTCCAGGGAAAAGAAAGCAGCCAAGACCTTGGGCATTGTGGTCGGCATGTTCATTCTGTGTTGGCTCCCCTTCTTCATCGCCCTCCCGCTTGGTAAGTTGGGGACGGGCAGAGGGGACCTGGATGTTTTCGGATCTTGGGTTTCCTGATGAGCTTACACTAAAGTTTTCGCTTGGGTTTTGTTTTTTTAAAGCAGTCTGTGTGTGTTTGAAGACTGGATCATATTGTTTGTTCTGCAAAGGCTTTGCAGGTTGGGGAGCTGGCTAAGAACCAACTCAGGTGTTAGTGAAACACGCTAAGGTACTAGGCACTTGAAACAGAACCCAAGGAGGAAGCTCTGGGATGTGGAGTGACTCACTTGCCAGCCAGCCTTGGTTTATTAATTAAAAGGGTGCTGGGCTTGAGCATCACACCAGCGTTATTTCAGTAGTAATGATGTGTCGGGGAAGGCAGCGTCACTAACGCAGCATACCAAGTAGTTTGCAGTTACTGCAGACCGCGGCATTTGGGAAGCGGGGAGGCAGCTCGTTCACAGAAAAGCAGCGTTCATTCAGTATTTCCAGGGCTCTTGCAAAGCCCACGTTTCTCTGGAGCTTTGCAGAGGCTGCAGTCTTCCCCTCCTCCGTCACCGTCGCCTAGCACCTCAGTGCACTGCCTTCATTATCAGTTAATAAGAGCATTTTACAGCCACACAGCCCTGCTGGGGCTTTCATTTATCTGAAGCTTGAGGTTTGAAAAAGATGACTAGAGGGTCACACATTCTCAGTGTTCATCTGGTGATTTATGGAATGTCCAGAATTAGATTATTGTTGACCCTTACCTTCAGCTGCAAGACGCCCAGTCTGGCAGGACTGGAACTCAGTGTATCCTTCCCCTTTCACAGAAATGTGTCCATCTTATTTTGTTTGGTGGTCCTGCTAACTAAATCATTCAAAGGGCTAACTGATTTCGTCTAAGAAAGAAGCCAGGGTCTGATGAGGAGGCAAACCTAGAGGAGGGTACTAGGACATGCTGTCCATACAGCTTTGGGAAACCCTCATCCCTTCTCTGAAGCACTGATCTGCTTTGCTTTCTTCTCCTATCCCTGGAGAACACTACAGAAATGAATGGAGGGAAGCGATCATGGCACAGTCGTGCTGCGGTGTCAGAGAGCTGGAGCTGCCACATGCCATAGACCACATGCACCTACAATCTCACCAGGGTCTCAGTTATAACTAAATGTAACCAAGCCCTCAAGCAACTAAAATTCTGAAGACACACTGTTTTCAGGAGAAAAGATGAATGGAAAGAGAGTAAACTAATATCAAGAGTTTCCATTTTTAAAAAATAGAAAGGAAAAAAACTATTAAACCTACTCTCCATGTCATCTTTTCTAAAGCAGGCTTGCAGGTTCATACCTTTAAGAAATATTTTCAATGCCAAGTGTTAAGCAGAAAGAGCTTGAAGTTCCACCCTAGGAGTGAGCACATCCCACTGCAGAGGAGCTTGCTTCTCTTTTCCAAAGTCCCGAGGTGCCTTTGCAGGCTTGTTGGGTTAACAGTAGATGTTGGTTCACACTGCTTTGCATTGGGTCATACAAAGATCATGGTCCTATGTAGAGGTGATTTGACTTATTAGCTACGTGCCCTTCAGCAAATGACCACTCCCATGTGAGCCTCAGTTTCTTCTTCTATGAAATGGGGCTAATTAGTATTTGCTCCATGGACTTTGCAGTAACATGGACCTAGTACAATATCTGGCACACAAAAAAATGCTCAGTGAAAGTTAGCTATTAGAACTACAGTCACCCCCTTGGGAACAATAGTGTATTTTCTCCTTTTCTACTCATTTACCAATCCCACACCTGTTACTAAAGCCTCAGAAGAGAACTATGTCTTTCTTCTTTCTGCCCCTGTCCTCCTCCAGCCCACAGAAGCTGAGCATGGTCAAGAAAGGAAAGACCCCTGCAGGATACAGAAATGATCAGAGGTGCAGGTTTTGGCTTTTAGGATGCAGGAGAAACAAACTCCGAACTGGTAGGAAGCCTCCAGCATGTTGAAATGGAAAGCCCTGCTCTGGTGGTTAGGAGAAAAAGATTTCTCATTTGAATTTTGCCGTCAACTAACTCTATGTCCCTAGAATTGTTGATTTATCTCTCTGGACTTCAGATCTCATTCCTGGACAATAAGAGGGCTAAATTATATTGCAGGGTCTCCAACTTTAATAAGCATCAGAATCATCTGTGATGTAGCCAACTGGGCTCAACATAGAATCAGATTCAGTAAAATCCAGTGGATCCCAGGAATCTGCATGTTTAATCAGCCCCCAGGTGATTCTGAAGAGGTGCACCACGGACCAGGGGTTGAGGATCACTGCTGGCAGATCGCTCAGCTCCCTTGGAATCTAACATCCTCGGTGCCAAGGTTTTTGCACCCTGCAAAGCTTGGATGTTCCCCAGCCACACAGAGGTGTAGGATGCTGTGGCTTCTCTCTGGGTCCTGCCCTTCAAGTCATCAACCCCGTTGTTCTTCCCACTCACATTATTGCCACTGGTTTTCTCCTTTCTGTCCGTGGCCTTCTGAGACCACGACCCCCTAGCATCTCAGGTCCTTGGCTTCCAGGCCACAGGAAATGAGATTCTTGTCCCTCCAATGGTCTCAGAGTGTGTTTGTCCTCTCTTGGCTATGGAAACTTTCTGACTGTCCACATCATGACCTCCTGAAGACTTTTAGTCCAGCGTCCCAGAGCTGGCTCCATCCACATCCTTCTTCCTTAGAAACCCAACAGGTGAGGTGAGGAATGTGGACTCCCAGCCTTGAGTTCAGGATGGGCTCCAAAAGGTACTCAAGAGTTCAAACAGAGAAGCCACATAATTAATGTTTTCTTAATCACTGAGGAAGAACATCCCAGCAAAATGGAGATGTGGGTTTTTACTTCCTCTGAGTTAAAATAACACCAAATAAAAGTAGCATGATGAAGGACAATAGCTCCTTTGGAATCTGAAGAAGTTTCCATTTTCTAAATTTTCCATGAGGGCTTTCTACTCAGAAGGGGTGAAAGAAGATCAAGGGGAAGACTGTGCTGGGCAAACAGAACTGCAGGTAGAAGTAACTTCCACTGGTGCTAGCCTTTCAGGTGCCTGGTGGCAGGAGGTTTCCATATCTGTGTTTATTTTCTCCATAGGAGAGAAGGGTTGGAATTCCTCCTGGGGAGGAGGAAAAATAGCCATGCCCCCCACTGGATCGTGTTCAGGGGCCCCAATTGTTTTCCCTCCTCCGCTATTTTTATTTTCGGGAGCAGGGTGCGGCTGTGGGTAGAGCAGGGCCTTGTGTCTCCTGCTGTGTCCTCCCTCCTTACCTCTTACCCACCCTTGCCCTGTGGCTGCAGACCAAACTGGACCAGGGACCAATGCTCACTCACTGAGGAGCAGAGATGGACTCTACCAAACAAGGACCTCTTTATTTGGCCCCTGGGATCAGGCCAGGGAGGGACAGGAAATAATGGGAATAGAATATAGCAGTATTTCTACTCAGTGGGCCATGTGCAAGATGTCCAAGGAAATCTTTAGCTGCCTGGCATTGCAATGAAGACCAACTCCCACCCGCCTGGGACCGCCTGTTCAGGGCCTGGAGAAGTGGCAGGGCCATTGAGGGATGCGCGCTGCGGCCTGAGGGGCGGTGAGGCGGGGTAGCAGGAAGTGCTAGGCAGCCAACTGGTGGCTGAGCTTGGTGACTTGTTTAGAAAACATTGGAACCTTGCCTTGCTCCAAATCTTTCTGGCATCTTTTAAGATGCTGAAAGGCACCAGGAAGCCATTATTGAACTAACTGTTTTCCCCTCCAAATAAATGAAGGTCAATTTCAAAGAAGCAGTTGTGCTCTCTATAGTACTGGAACCAAATAGGAATCCCTCTCTCCATTGATGTGAGTTCACAGCCCTCTCATTCAAACGGGGGCTGATGAATTTCCACCCTCCACAGGCACAAGGGAGAATAAGGGTCACAATGACGACTCAGGACAGAGCCACACCTATAAACACACATATTAATCCTCCAACTCAGAGGTCTCAATGCACAGGGACTTGAGTTGCCTACAAGGAAAGCAATTGGTTTGAGTAGCTGGTAAGGGGGAAATTTTTGCACATAGAAATATTTACCTGGAGGAGGGAAATCTTACTGAAGTAAAATATATTTGACTGTTAACTCCTTCATAAAGATTTCCTAAAGCACCTACTCTGTGCTAGCCTCTGTACTAGTCACTGGGTGTTGAACCAAAAGCAAACAATCCCTGCCTGCATAATCTATGATTACTGAACACATACTATGTGCCAGACATTCTGATGGGCCTCTTACAGATTAATCCTCACAGAGCTACCCTGACATGGGAGAGTCAGTGCTTCTCCTTACAGATGAATATATCGAAGCTCAGCAAGGCTAGATTCTTGCCCAAGGTCACCCAGCAAGGCCAAAAGTTGAGTCAAAGTCTGCTAGAACATGCCATGCCTGTCCCATTGCTCCTAGGAGATGTCTGGCCTTTTCTGCTCTCTGGTCACAACCTGCTGTCATAGAAAATGTTCTCCAAGAAGCCTAGAGTCACTCTGTCAAAAGCTAGGAATGTTTTTCTGTTCCAAAATCTTGATCCTCTTGGGGAAAAAAAATTTAAAAAACACAACTCGTGAAATTCAAGGCAGACCATCCATGTTCATACTCAGGCCAAAATCTTCTCCACACCCCCTCCATGGTGTGTGCTAAGGGTCTCTCAGGACTGAGCACATGGTCAGTCACCCAACCAGAATGAAAAAAACTTGGAGGGACCTTGCCCTTTTTCTAGGAATGTGGGTCCACATCTTTAATCGTACATTCATTCACTGAGTAAATATGGATTTATTGAGTGGCTACTGTGTCTAGGCTTTTTATTGGAGAAACAATGGTAAGCAAAATATTTAAGTTCCATAGAATTTAGTTCTAGTAGGGAATGCAGGCATTAAACAAACAAACAAACATGAATGCAAAATCTGATAAGTGATTTGAAGAACAGGTGAGAGATGTTATTGGAACTGTATAACAGGGATCCATCTGTCATGAGGTCCCTGGGAGAGTGACATTTACGTAGAACC